TGGTGGTGGTGGTGGAGAGGATGGGAGGTTAGGTGACTTGGTTTACTTTAGCGTTTTTGATTGTGATGGTGATCCATCTAAAGCGTCATGCAGAGCGCAGATTCTCTTGAGAAACTCCACTGCTTTCAACCTACGGACCTTTCAATGTTTCGGCATCTGCAATACTGACTTTCAAGATCAGCGGCATCAGTAATCGCGCCTCATCAGTCAAAAAGCAGCAAGGCTGTCGGTCCGGCTGACGAGGTCGCACTCACATGCACTGAGGATGGTGACCTGAAGAGAAAAAGAAGGAGGGATGTTTTCCCTCAGGACTCATGAGAGGCTAGAAAGTTCTCGCATTCCCCGAAACGGCTCTTTTTGACCTAAAAGTGCGTTAACATCCGGGAAGATCTCCTCCGCCTGCCCTCCATGTGGACAGTCCATCAAAAACAAGGCAATGCTGACTAAAACTCAGGAGCTGCGATGCTGTAAACGGCGATAAAGTGGTTAAGTACTGTGACAGATCGGGGCTACTTTTGCATCGTGCCGTGTAGAGCAACTTGAAGGCAGTTTTGCATTCGTCCAGTGGAACTCCATTTCCAGAAATATCACCCACTAAAATATCATTGGTGAGCACGTCAAGTTGGCTATTTTCGACTTGAAGGACAGTCACTCAGGCTCATGGTGCTGCTGCTGCTGCTTCTGCAGCATGATGGATTGGCTTGAAATGTGGGCGTTGAGAGGGCCTTAGTGAAGTCTCAACGTTCAATATCCTTGCTTTCCACGATTTGCAGCAAACATTATCTCACAAAATCTTGAAGTGTGGACGACAACAAAAATGTGAGGGGTCATTTCAGGGAAAATGGTAGAGCTATTGGAGTTCGAATGCCGTAGAGCTTTGTCACCAAAAAATCGATTACTCAAAAGATGATGTGGCGAGCATACGTAGCTTTCGGCAAATTTTCGTCGGGCCAGCACAGTTATATGGGAGCGGGATAGAAGAAAACATATCAGCGATAAGAGAAATCGACAAAAGTTCGCCTTTAATCACAGGCGGGGTGAGTAGGCTCTGCGCCTACAGTGGTCGAAGGTCGACTAACCCTGCAACTCTCCGCGCCCTTCCGCTCTCTCCCCGCCCCTGACACTGCCTGCTATTACTCCCCCCCAGCTACCCCTATCCCCTCCCCCGCATTCTCACACCCCGCCTTAGTTTAAAGGCAAACTTTTATCGATTTATCTTATCGCTGACATACTTTACTTCTACCTCGTTCCCACTTAACTGTACTGACCCACGCACTCCCAATAGCCTTTTTTTGCATACGACTACTTGATCTCCTCGCCTGCGCGTTCCCCGATCTCACCTGTAAAAACCCCCCTATCACTATCGACCTCATATTACAGGTGGCTGAGATTTGTTCACTTCAGGTGGGGCTACATAACCACATCTCGGAAAATTCTTTCGAGTTTTTGACCGAGCTGTCGAAGACAGGACTAAGTTTAGCATTAACAGTCAGGATAGGCCTAGAGTTACGACAGGAGGGCTACCGAAGATGCTGAATGGTGTATGATTTCTGGTCAGTGTTGGGTCCTATATGGGTTTCAGGGATCTCTGTTAGGGATAGTCGTGACGTTGGGTTTGGGCATAAGCCTAAATAACCCTTCTTGCAATCCTTATAACAATCCTTACTTTACTTACTTGGGTCTCGTCCGTGGCTTTTGCACTCTCTGCGTAACTTTTATACTGTCCTGTAGTTCAGATCATAACATTATCCGACCTCTATTTCTTAAACCCAAATCGAACACTTACCATGATAATAATCTTAAGCCTAACCGCAACCGGGCCTTTTCTGTTCCCATCCTATATGGCATACGCTTTTACCAGTTTTTTTAAAAGGGCTTTTAGTTGAAACGGGTAAATAAAGTTAAGTATGACATTTCTGATCAAATGCGAAGAAAAATACTAAAGTAAAGTTCGACATTTTTTACCTAATCGGTAAGGTCTGTTGCAAGACTCATGAGGGGAAAACTTAAGCATGGACACCTTTCTCGCACGCGCGTTGACTAGGCAGCTTCTAAAAACACAGTGGAACATCAAAAAAAGAGAAGAGGATTTCACAAGGAGAGATTTACTGAAGATTAGCCATTTCGAGCAGTTATTTCGTCTACCAGAATAAGGTCGTGTACCCAGCCTTCATTATGTGGCGCACGTTGTTTGATGTGTATCCCATCAGTGCCGCTTGAGTGGCTGCATCCGACCCGCATTTAACCGTGACCCGTGTCCCCCCCCCCCGCCCTCGTCGAGCGCGGAGATATTTGACGGCCACGATTGGCCCCGATGGTTCGTAAAACCAGGTAGGACTTTTCATGTCGGCTTAGCATTGCTGGGTACCACGCCGTCCCCAGGCTAGCCAGGGCCGCAGACGTCTAATCATGGTCGAAACAATCAAAATCGAAACAACAACAATACCAATAACAACAACGACCATACTCCTTCTCCTCATCGTACCTCTTCTTCCTCTTACTCTGTCTATTCTTCTGCCTATTCTTCTCCTTCGTCATCTTCTTCTCCATCTCCCTCCCGTCGCTCCACTCGTTGTCACCAGACTGGCAGAGTAGGTCCGCTCAATCTGGCAACCTGGAATGTTCGTTCCTTATAGGCAATCCGAGGAGCAACCAAACGGAACGGAGGACAGCGTTAGTGGCACGAGAACTGGCGCGCTACAAGGTGGACATCGCCGCACTCAGCGAGACCCGTTCCTCCGAACAAGACAAAATGGAAGACATGGGAGCCGGTTACACCTTCTACTGGGGTGTTCGACCCAGGGCAGAGCGATGAGACGCGGGTGTCGCCTTCGCTATTCGGAAAGATATCGTGGGACGACTGTCCTGTATGCCGCAGGGCATCGACAATCGCCTGATGACCCCCTGCCTGCCTCTCAGGCGGGGGGGGGGAGGGGGGCAAATTCGCCACCATCATCAGTGCCTACACTCCGAACATGACCAACCCCGACGCCGTCAGAGACCAATTCTACGAGGACCTGCACGCACTCGTGGCGACTATGCCGAAGGCGGGCAAGTTGATTGTCCTTGGTGACATCAACGCCCGCGTCGGCACAGACCATACTGCCTGGAGAGGAGTGCTGGGTCTCCACGGTCTCCGCGGCTCAAACGACAATGGTCTGCTGCTTCTCCGCACCTGCGCAGAACACCGCCTTATCCTGACGAATACGTTCTTCTGTCTGCCGGAGCGAGAGAAGGCCACCTGGAGGCATCCTCGGTAGCGCCAGTGGTACCTGCTGGACTATGTCCTCGTCCGGAGGCAAGATCAGCGAGACGTGCTGCTGACGAAGGCGATCGCGGGTGCTGACGGGCGGAACCATCATCGCCTCGTCATCTCGAAGATGCGTATTCGCCTACAGCCTCTCAGGAGACCACAAGGTAAGCGACCCCCAGGTAGGCTAAATGTTGCCTTATTGTCGTTGCCCGCTCATCATTTTCATTTCAGTAATGAGCTAGCTCAACGGCTAGACAACCTCACCATCGCCGATGCCGCCGCTGCCGAGAACGCCTCCGTGGAGAACCGTTGGTGTCAACTGCGAGACACGGTCCAGTCGACGGCACTCGCCGTCCTCGTTCGCGCTCCCCGCCAACAACAGGACTGGTTCGACGACAACGACGCCGCCATCAGAAATCTGCTTGTTGAGGAGAACCGCCTACACAAAGCCTATGTTGACCACCCCTCTGAGGACAACAAAGCTACCTTCTACCGCTGTCGCCGCCAGCTTCAGCAACGACCGCGCGAGATGCGGGACGCCTGGACTGCTCGCAAGGCTGAGGAGATCCAAGGCTACGCGGACCGCAACGAATGGAAGAATTTCTTCTCTGCGATCAAAGCTGTCTACGGTCCGCCGACGAAAGGCATCGCGCCTATCCTCAGCGTCCATGTCAGCACCCCCCTGACGGAGATTACACAAATCCCACAGCGATGGGCCGAGCATTTTCCAGGCGTCCTCAACCGCCCCTCCGTCATCTCCGACGCCGCCATCGCCCGTCTACCGCAATTGGAGACCAACGTGGACCTCGACCTCCCGCCATCTCTTCAGGAAACCATCAGGGCCGTGCAGCAGCTCTCCAACGGGAAAGCACCCGGATCGGACGCAATCCCTGCTGAGGTCTACAAGCACGGAGGTCCCCAACTGATGAATCACCTGACTGCGCTCTTCCAGGAGATGTGGCGTCAGGGTGAAGTCCCGCAAGATTTCAAGGACGCAACAATCATGCACCTATACAAGCGAAAAGGAAATCGCCAAATCTGTGACAATAACCGCGGCACATCCTTGCTGGACATCGCCGGGATGATCTTCGCTCGCATCCTTCGCAACCGCATAGATAACCACCTGGAACAGGGCCTTCTGCCGGAAAGCCAATGCGGCTTCCGTCGTCATCTGGGGACCACGGATATGATCTTCGCCGCCCGCCAACTTCAAGAGAAGTGTCAGGAGATGCGGACTCACCTGTACTCTACATTCCTGGACCTGACGAAAGCCTTCGACACGGTGAATCGTGAAGGATTGTGGAAGATCATGCAGGAATTCGGCTGTCCGGAGCGACTCATTCAGATGGTGCGTCAGCTGCACGACGGTATGATGGCGCGAGTCACGGACAACGGAGCTGTCTCAGAGACATTCACAGTGACCAGCGGAGTGAAGCAGGGATGCGTGCTGGCGCCAACCCACTTCATAAGGCGTTTCGCAAGGACGAGCCATCCTCTATGAGCCCAGGTAGAAAGCATATTCACTCAATCAATAATCTTAAGTGGCACATCAAAAAGAGAAGAGGCGTTCACAAGGAGAGATTTACTGGAAGTCTGGCATTCCGAGCAGTTATTTCGTCTACCCATCTAGACAGACCAGAATAAGGTCGTGTGCACAGCCTTCATTATGTGGCGCAGGTTGTTTGATGCGTATCCCACCAGTGCCGCTTGAGTGGCTGCATCCGACCCGCATTTCACCGTGACCTGTGTCAACCCCCCCCTCCCCCCCTCGTCGACCGCGGAGATATTTGACGGCCCCGATGGTTCGTAAAACCAGGTAGGGCGGAGAAATCAAATAAGTGTGGCGGTTAGCGGGGCCGTCGGTGGGCATCCAGCTTTTTTACATCTGCCTTGCTCTCTGATCGCCACCTCTGCCTACAACCTCCACGGCGTCAACTTTAAAGAGGCGTCCTATTTGCGTAGCATGGGTTGCCACCTCCGACCTTGGGTCCAACCTTCGCACGCCAAGCGATGCTTGTGCATTCGCGTTTGCAGCCACCGGCCGGTTTTCCCAACGTATTTGCACATCCCACAGCTGCACTGAAGTCGGTAGACAAAGGCCGAATCTCCCGTTTAGGGATAGGGTTTATTGGCAGCACCAACTGCCGGCGGTGCTGTGAGGGCTGCCGCTGTTCTGAGTGGCCGGAGGCATCTAACCACGGCTTCGGAGACCTACCTCATGTACGGAATGCTCTGCCACGATTTTGGTTGATTATGCTCTTGCTTCCGCTTCCTTTGTTGCGTCCAACGACGTTTAACGATTTCTCACGGCCAACCGCTGGCTCTGAAGAGTCTCTGAAAAGAACATAATACGTAAGAACCCTGTTTTCCTGTTTTTTTGCCGTGCTTTCTTGTGGAACTTCATCGATGACTAATTTAGTGATTTTTGTAAAGATCCAGTATGCGAGTTGTGCCTGTCACTTTCCTGAATACGTTGGTTTATAGACGCCCCGTCATCTTCGCAACATACTAGCGCAGCAAGAAAAGTAAGAGAAATGTTCCCTATTTTGTGCTATCGTGGCATCTATGTTCGGCTAGACGGCCTTGAGAGGCTCCTTAAAGGTGAACACCTGGTCACATGTGCTGACATAGAGGGTGCTATTCACGTTTTCTGTTCAGAAATTCTCCCTGTGACGTTAAAAAAAGCAGTAAATCTAACGATTTGGTTTTCGAGTCGCGAAAATTCAGGAGACTAGTTAGCGGGCGAACGCGTGTCTGGATAAATTTCCATCGGGAAAGTGCATTCACATGGGAACGGCGCACGAGCAAATCATGTGAGAAATAAAAGAAATGGATTACATTCCGTATTTTCACACAAGTGGGCTGTGAGAACAGGGCGGAAAAAATAAGGGACGGGGTGTTAAGAGGCAGTGAGGGTTGGGCAGTTTTTTATTTTGAATATTAATCTTTCAATTAAAAAACTATAGCAAAGGGCCGTTCTTGACGTGAGGCTAATTCGCCTGCACCCTAATCTCTAATGCTTTTTGCCTGAGGACTTGATTGCTATAGCTGGCACGCAGTCGCATAGTCTTTCCGAATCAACCAGAAGTCATGCAAGCCTGCCAAGTTGGGCTTTCTGGAGAAAGCTCTGGCTCTAGGAAACTTCTTGCCCTTTAAGCCAAACGTCGGTGGTCGTTACCTATTTCTAGAAAGCTGGACATACTGTATGAACACAGCATGAATGAAGTTGACGTCACCGGATTGTTCACTCCCGTGAACCCTACGGCAGTGTTATGCACAATAATGCAGCCGAAAACAGGGCTGTTTGGACTGGTGTTATACCACCTTCACCACTGGCCTCTAATGGCTACTGAAGAAGCTGACTACCAGCCTAATAAATCTGTCTTACCAAAATCGCTTGAAGGGTGGTCTGTCACTGGTGTGCTCTTAACCGTCACCGACTGCTGTGGAAGAGTCGCGGACTGCAATCTTCGGTAGGATGTGGTCATGAAGTCCAACCTGATGGACACAATACTGTTAGGCTTGGGGTTATGGGTGGTGTTTAGGGGTTAGGGTTAGGGGTTAGGGTTGGAGGTTAGGCGTTAGGGCAAATACTTCTCAACCAACAACCGCGCATTCCCAATAGCTTTTCTTTTGCATCCAATTACTTGACCTCGTTGCTTTTGCGTTCCCCGGTTCCACCCGTAAAAAACCCTCTTACCACCGGTCCCGTATTAGAGGTGAATGGTGTTTTTGTACTTTAGATGGGGATACCAAACCAGCCTCTGACGTGTTATGGCGTTACCAATTACAGACTATTGGGCGGATCAGAGAGAGTAGGGCGATACATTGCTGACATGACGGGTTCCAGGAAGCGGTATAGAAGAAGGTGCGATCGTCTGAACAGAAAGTTTACTGTCCCAAATTTTCGGATGCGCCCTCGAACACATCATCAGAGACAGTTGCAGGCTGTGAATCCGAAACGTTAGGCCAATAAACCTCCTGTTTCAGCATCCTCGTTTCCATTCAAAAAGCGAAAAGTACCCACATCTCCATTTCGCTGTGACATCGTGCGAATTCATGCTCCCAGAAACGGTAGGCAGGATTGCGCAACAGCTCCGCTGACATCATCAGAATGCCCCAAGGGTGAGGTTGATTGACAACCAGTCGTCCCATCAGCACGCGACTAATCTGCTCCTTCACCTGCTCTTTGAAGTGTTCAGAGGAGAGGTAGCGGATGGTATAGGAGAAGTAGTAAGTGCGGGAGTTTGGATAACGTAGCCGGTTCGCCATGCAGTTAAGCAACAAATATCGACCTAGACCAGAAACAAAAAGAGAAAAGAAAACAAAGTCAAGACACGCATTTGAAGCGGTTATCGTTACCAGAAGACAGATAAGACAGGCGACAATACGCACAACAGATTATTATTGTCTCTAAGTGGCGACTTGTATGTTTGGTTTACATAAGGCAGGCTTTTACGGAAGGGGGGTGGGCAATTTCGCCCCGTACTAACACACACACACACACACACACACACGACAGTTCGACCGTCGATTTCGACGATGTCCACCATGTGCCCCACAGACTGCATTGTGGGAGCAGGGACGGTGACTTACGCAGGGGTTTATAATGTCAGTAGACTTGCGTAGCATCTACCTACACTCTCTCCTCCTCCCCCGCCTGGGCCCGGTGTCAAGACAGAGTCAAGAAGACCGGAGACGAGGGAGGCCGCAGGTGGATGGCTCGGACGGATCCTCGCCTTGGCGTTCCACTCCGCACCCCCTCGTCCACACACAGATGACCAGGATTTTGACCACAAAACAATGGGGTGGCGGCAGTGGTCCAGTTGAGCGACAAATGCCGACAACTGGGTCCGCCAGCGCACCCCGCAAATGTTGGCATTTATTATTGCGCACAGATAACGCCTGCCAGAGTCCGATGTGGCCCCCGTGTTGGTCCAGCGCATCTAACACGTGGCCCGTTTTGAGGACACACACACACACACACTGCACACGCAAAGCTGCCACTTGCCCCCCAGTCGCCGAGCGTAGGGTGGGTGTGTGGGACAGGAGTAAAACGGAGCCGGCGCGCAAGCACACGCGGTTGAGGTCGTGCTACTGATGCTTTCGCGTCAACAGCAGGCAAGGCCCCACGGTGGCGGAGTGCGCGTGACCACCCCCGCCGCCGCCGCCGCCGCCGCAGAGGAGTACATACATAGACGACGGTACACGCTCCGCAAGTTCTATACAGAGTCTCAAACAGAGGACAGGGATGGAGGGGGTGCGTGAGTCAGGAATACTCGATGTTTCGGGACGCTAGGGGGTAAGAGAGAGGAACGCGACGCTACTATTTGGACGGAATGGGAGCTGCGTTGGCTGACTGCTGTTGGTTGTTTTTCTGGTCACGGGGATTGGTCGGCACAGCGCCACCGCCAGGTGCTAGGCTGGAACTCGGCTGTGCTGACGTGGACATTGAGCGACCGGGGATTGGGGCCTGGAAGTTTGGAATGCAACTCTTCGCCACAATGGTGATGATCCTGTCCGGTTGGGGGTGGGGTACGTAAAAGCCAGCAGTTTTGTTAGGGATAGTAAAGACATGCCGGTACAGCATAGGTTCCACCGCTTCTACAAACTGCGACGACGGCTGTTACGTTGTTTTCCACACGGCCGGCCGATCAAGTTTAACGGGCGAGTGTGATGAAAGCAGGTCGTGGAAGGCGGACGAGGTTGGGATAGACTGAACCTCCCCCCCCTGAAATTAGTCCCCAAGCCGCACGATATGCCAGAAACGCGGGAACCCCGAGCAACACTCCAACGTCATTGTTAAGTTCTGTTCGTAATGCCCACGAGAATAATGGCAGCAGGACTAACCTCCAATAATGTCATCCCACGCACAATTCGGAGCTATGTATTGCCTACTTAGCCCTGAATCGTTAAAGTATTGAACCATGTCCGTACAACAGGACGTCAGTGTGATTAAATTTTGCTCGATATCAATAGAGGTAAGTCCCAGTATGAAGCTGCATTAGGTTATCACGCTTTCCTTTTCCGAAATTTTCTATTGTACTCTGCCACTAGGCAAATAACTAGGACTGATAGCCAAAACGTCTGTTAAAACCACTGTAGTCGAAGGAAATGAGAGTGCGCCGAACATACTGTCGAAATTATCATTTCTGGGACAGAAAGCCAAAGGCAGACGTTTGCCCAACGGAAGCAAGCAGTAACCATGTAAACATGAACTTCAGGAGTGGGATGTGAGGGGCCCGACGAAAGTGTCAAAAGGCAGTCGGTTCTGAGGAAACATTACCGATTGGGGTGTCAGTTTCCGCTAAACTTACCATCATTACTCGGCCGGAGGCTGGAGAGTGGCGGACCTGATGAGACAGCCACCACAGTATCCCTTAGCTTTGGTGGTCCTCGCTGTGTGATCGGCCACGAAGGCCGGAGATCCAAGGCAAAACGAAAAGCCCACTTTGCCCCTAGTGATGGTCATCTGTCCGTAGTCGGGCTGGGCATGGACGC